ATTACCATAGATCAAAGCTTCACCACTCCTTCGGCTGCAAACATAGTGAACAGCTAAAAGCTGTGTGAAAAAAAAAAAAAAAAAAGAGCAGTGCACAACTGTTGCTTGTTAGTGAAGGCACGAAAGGATACACCTACCAAAAGGTTACAAAGTTTGCTGACATTATGGCACCCGCTACGGGAGTCTTGTTCAGAATAATAGCCATAAAAAAAGGCACAGTGTCCCACTACTGTTTTTCTTTGGGATCCTCTCCTGCATATTTGTTGATCTTGTAACTTTTTTTTTTCGTATACACTGAACTGAAAATTAAAAACAAAAAACAAAAACAAAATGAAGTACGCCTAAGTATGTGATGTAAGCACCGGAAGTACAGTCAACCACAAAAGGTTGCAGACCACGCGAGCGAATGCCAAACTGCCTATCCGTGCCACCAAGCGGTGCGCCATACCATCGACCGCAGTACTGGGCTGTAAAAGGGCCTCGTTATACACAGGCTTCTCAGTTTTCCACTGCTGCATAGTGCTTTGCTACTTCGCAGTTCTCACATGAAGCGCTTATGTGCACTGTGGCGCACTTTTCTATTTTCATAGCAGGATCGAAGGTATCACGGTGTACCTCAAACAGCGATCTGATGGCTAGGTATAATTTTGTGATTAGGATTGCGACTGATAACTGTTATGCCCATAGACTATTCTCGACGCAGGAGCACAGGGACACAGGTGCCAAAGAGCATGTTGTGTTAGAAAGTGGATGGTGAAAATTATTTGTACTCAGTCAGAAAACATACAGGTCACATATTAATGGAAGAATGGGTCTCGGTCCCTGTTGCTGTCAATCACCTCTGACATAACGGAAATGTCACGAAGAGGCTTTTGACTACGTGCCCGCATGGTTTGTAAACTTTTCTGGTAGACTGTACATTGTTTGAAGCGTCCCATCACTCCTCTTCAGCATGTGCGCAGTCGTCTGCATGTGCTGGTATTTCAGGTGCAGGCATGATGCAAGCTTTCCTTTCACCAGAGCACACACACTCGACGAGTCAGTTTGGCGGCCTGTTAAAACCACATGTTTAGCAAGAGAATATGACATCACTTAGTTTCCTGACGTCATATTTGTGTTTTGTTTAATAGCGAGGAACGTTAACTTTTTGTAGATGGTCGATTTTGGGTGATAATGAATGAAAAGGGGGGGAGGGGGCTTTCAACTCTTTCCTTGAAATTAGTGGTCTCACCGATGTGCTGGTTGTTGCAATTTTGGTAGCCTAAAGTAAAAATAAGACAGTGGAAAGTTTTGTTTGACAACTTGTTCTTCACGTTGTCTGAAGGGTTACCTAGCTTCCTTATTCGTACATAGCCCCGCCACAGTGGTCTAGTGGCTAAGGTACTCGGCTGCTGACCCGGAGGTCGCGGGATCAAATCCCGGCTGTGGCGACTGCTTTTCCGATGGAGGCGGAAATGTTGTAGGCCCATGTACTCAGATTTGGGTGCACGTTAAAAAACCCCAGGTGGTCAAAATTTCCGGAGCCCTCCACTACGGCGTCTCTCATAATCAAATCCGTGTGCTCAGATTTGGGTGCACGTTAAAGAACCCCAGGTGGTCTCAATTTCCGGAGCCCTCCACTACGGCGTCTCTCATAATCATATGGTGGTTTTGGGACGTTAAACCCCACAAATCATCAATCACCTCATAATCAAATAGTGGTTTTGGGACGTTGAACCTCACAAATCAATCAATCGATTATTCGTACATACACTATGTTGATGTCTGTTGCTTCTACATATCACGCAGCATATCAGACTTCCCAACTTCAACATAATTCATGCCGTTAAATTTAAGCATGTTATCTTGACCATGATTTGGCTCGGCTTGAAGGCTTTCAGGTTGGGCTAGGCCTGCCAGTAGCAGAGGCTTGCCCGGCTCTGTCATTATTTTATTATTATTATTATTATTATTATTATTATTATTATTATTATTATTATTATTATCATCATTATTGGCAATGCAATGGGAAACGTCCTCAGCTACTCATTTATCGCTGGTAGCATAAAGTTTCTCACAATCATACCTAGAGGGAAATCTGGCGCTAGTGAGCTGCTGGATGCAAGTGAAGGACAGGATATGTGAGCTTCGAACTTGACTCGGATTTGTATACCTCAAAGATGCGTCTCTCTTCGGGTTAAAATGATTGGTTTCTTACTAAAAGAGCACGTGATAAGCTATTTATTTTTGTCATTGCACAGAAACGGGTTTTATTTGACACTTTAACCTTCCGCGTTGATGTACAATTTTACAAGGTGTAAGAAGTAGCCAACAGCCGCTAAACTTGGAAGGCAGACGACAAAGCGAGTGTTCCTTCCATCACTTTTATGTCGTCTGTTTCTTTCCTTCGCCATTTGGTTGTGCCGTCAAGGTGAGTGGACTTCTATTTTAGAATATAATATGTGTGAATGAGATTCGCTTATAAACGTTTTGTTTTAGTGAAGCCTCATTTATGCAGTCGTATTCGCTTTTTAGCCGAAGCCCCACTGAACACTAGCCGACACAAGCCTTGCAGACACAAGCCTTGCAGACACATATGCTGTCATTCCCAGCGCTCCATAATCGCCTCTTAAAAAATTCGTATAGACAGTGACGCCATACTTCCCTCTAGGTATTTGTGAGAAACTCTACGGCTGGTAGCTCACATTTCAAGGGTTGAGTTGGGCAACTTCATCTAAACTTCCCATTTCAGTTTTTGAGATGGTATTATTAAATGTGCGATTACTTGTTAGCCTTATATCCATAGAAGAGTACACAAACGAAGGTAACCCGCCGGCAACACGCATGTGCTCGCCGTGGAAAAGAAGAGAATGAAATAAGAAAATAATGCAGTAAGGCTCTATTCTTGTGACATTGTTAGTCATTGTTCAATGCGAGCTGCATAGAATACGCGAGTAGTAGTGGTTTTTTTCCTGATAAGTATATACTAGAGGTGTGCAATTTAGGTGGGGATGCAAATTAATAGTAAATACAGGAATCCATGTCGCATCAGATCCAATCCAATCCACAGCCGAAATAGTCAAGTCAGTAAATACAAGTCAGTCTGGTCCACTCCACATCCTAAGCAGCCTAGACTCTAACCTTTATAGTGAACTAGACTTTATTCCACTGGCAGAACCGACCGGCCTCTGGCATCCTCCTTATACACAGATGCCACGAGATGGTGCCACTTCTGGCAGCTTTGGCTGCATTAGGACTGTTGTGGGCATCTGTAAACTTTTAGCTGCAGTTAATTTTAACTCGTGTGTTTGCTTTCTGGTTCTTCGAAACGTTAAACAGCCAACTTGCTTACTCTCTCCCTCGGAGATTTTGGCCATATATACTTATTTTTTCATATTGACCGCACGTGCTCAGCGCTTGTGGTACATTTATTCACTCATTTTATTGGAGTGTCGGATTTTTCTATCCCTCGAGGGTCTGTTTCTAGTGCAGAGTTTTCCAAGCATATGTAAGGGTCTTGGAATTTGCATCAAATCATTATGAAAAACCTGGAAAAGTAAAGGAACTTCTAAAAAGCAAATTGGTAGACTTTCAGAGAGGATCAGATGGTGGTTGACAGTGTGAACGCTCGAATATACATGAATGTCATTTATCATGCAATTAAACATCATTGAGCATGCCGACTAATTGAGCATGCCAACGGTGCATTTGAAATGTTCAGCTAGTCATAATTATGTCATAACCTTTGCCATCTTTGCTTAGGCTTCAGAGTCTAAAAGATTGCTACATTAGAGGCTGTTCTTGTGTTGAAAGATGGCATTATCACACATGCCGAAATTCAGGAACCGCTAGAATTGAAGCCTCGGCAAAACTCAGTCCATTTGATGAATGAACTCAACCACACAATAGACAACATCTTGCAGATAAAGCAACTGCACAGTGTCTCACAAAAGAAGCAAGACAATAGGCTCCAAAGCGAAAAAAAAAAGAAAGGACTTTGGCAATGATTACCAAGCTTCGAGCTACTGAACAAAAGTTGAACAATAGTTGGGGCAAAAGATGTTTGTGGGGCTTTCACCCCTTAGTGCCTGAATTATGAAACTGTCAAAGAAAATAAAAAAGTCAATTTTGTCAAAGGGGTGGAGCGATGAAGGTGATAGCAACATACTCAAATGTTTTAAAAAGCAAGGCTAGCATTTTTAAGAGCAATATTGTAGTAAACATGCGCTTGCTAAGTTACCAAGTGTTCTGCGGCGCCGCCACAGTGGTTGACCCCAACAAGGCTAATGTATAGTGACGGGGTTGATGACAAGCGCCTCCCATGGGCAGCGCATGCTGGTAATAAGGGCGCTACATTGTGTGTCGCCGCTGGTAGCACTTTATGTGTAGAGTGCATCTATATGTGGACGGACGCTCCAGGTAGACTTTTGGCACAGTTTTTTGTGCTCAGAGCGCAGCCCGTAGAAGCTCCCACCTGCTGTAGGGGCAAGAGCCGTGCGCTGATTGTTGCTGCCATAGCACGGCA